TCATGACCAAATGGTTGAGTTTAAAGTTGTCGATGGCTGTAGTTGCGCAAACGAGGCTGCGTCATTAAGTGAAAAAACCTAAAATTAAAAATTAATCTTCGTACGAAGTTTCATCATTTTATGCCTTTGCAGCCTACCTCCAGTCCCAACCAGTTATCGTTGCAACTTGAGTAATGAAGGATCGCACTAATGACCTAAATTGAGGCGTAATTTTGAATTTTGATCCTCAAATTGTGTTTCACAAGGCTATGATGACGAATTACCCAGAGCCCAGGCTTCCTAAACTTATTCACCGTGATGGATAGGTTTTACAATAAGAACGGAATAAAATAAACAGTACGACATGATTTGTTTAGAGCGAATGGATATTTTAAATGCGTAAGTGATAAAGAAGCGTGGTCGAGCCGGGGAAAACGTCACCGACAAAGGGCTGCACCACTCTTCCTAAAATAGGCCAAATTTTGGTTTTCGAGGTACGGAAAAGTTTTGTATGAATACTTATAGAAATGCAGGGCCGACTTTCGCTACTATAATTGTATGTTTCGCCTGCTAGGTAATATTTCACCTTAGGTACCCTTCGTTGATGTCCGACGTGCCTTTCTCCGTCGTTTTGACGTCAAAAATGGAGCAACATGCGCTTTACGTCCAGTATTCATAGAGGACATCGCATTTGTTTTCCTCCTTTATCAGAACACATGTTCTGATAAAGAAATTGGAATGTCTTACTCGAGTAAGGCACTCAACTACCAACTTTCCTTTAATCCGTATTGTTTACTGTTATCTTCCAGCTTACACCTAATTCAAAACACAAACTCTCATCGTCAACCCTTCTGCCTATTGTATTCTTCCAATATATAGCTATTTTTATATAAAAGCTGATTTCTTTATTGTTCCAATATGTGTTTCTGTATTCAACTCATACGTAGACCGATTCTCTGTTAGATTGCTTCCCCCAGTGCCAGCCATGCGATTGAGAGATAGAGATCTGAGTATGGGTGGCGCACGGCGCCGCGCACTGCCGTCCAGGTACATATTTTATATTTAACCGGTTATTCTAGTAAAGAGATGTGGAAAAGGATTCGCCTTCGAAAGCACTGAGTCGACGTCACTCGATCACTTCACCAATATCAAAAAGGCTCCGCAGTCGCACTGGAAACCTCAAGGTAGATGATAACGCTGCAAAGTTTGTGTCTTCAATAAGAAAGTCCCGAAAAACGACTGCCCTAAGTGATTTGCCTACTGTGAAGACTGACGACGTTCCGACGAATTGCCAACGCCGCGTTATTGACTCTACGTCCCGAACCTCTCTTTTAACGGATACAACATGCCCGCTAGAACAGTCGCAAACATTAATAGGAAACCAATTGTTTCCTTCAACGGAGGATCTTAATCAGTCGATCCTTTCTAATAAGACCCTGGCGTGCATCTTACTATGAGCCGTATTTTAATTACTCCCTAATATGCCTAATTCCTTTTAAACGTACTTCTAAGTATACTTCTGAAACCTTATCAGACCTCCTTTGCGATTTATTATCCACGTTTGTATGCTGAAGACTGCACGCATAAGCAACTTTTTCTTAACAACAGAACTTGAATTTATCATTATTGTGAAGTTTTCATGTAATAACTTTTTTATACAAGGACACGCAAATAGTCGTGTCTGTCTCCATGTAGATTCTACACTATTTCCTTTTTACGCTGTCCCTGGTGCACCAAGGCTCCCTATCGTAGGTCGTAATAGTTGGACAGAAGGAGCAGTTTTCTTGCATGCCTCACGCACCTGTTTCTATGAGTCGGACTGTGAATATACAAACAGCACCCAGCCCGTCTATCTGCTTGTCACGTGTTCGGAGGCGGAGCCTTCGGGCTCGGGTTGGTTAATGGCGATGGAATCCACCCTTTCTGGCTGTTGCTAACCAGTTAGGAAGTGAAAAGATGGGCGTCTGATGCATATTTAGTCGCACATTACTACACGTAGCGTTGCTAATATACTTATTACTGGCGTCCCCTGAAGATGGGTTCCCCGTTAGCCCAGCTGCGGACTATCGGCACGTCCATAGATGGTGAATGGTAAAGCGATCTTCACCGAAGACCATCTCCGATATAAAAATACTTTCCGATCTGATGGGCAAGCACTCGTGAGCCAGAAACGATGGTGCCACCAGGGCGCGGAGGGTTGAAGTCTGGCATGCCGACTACAGAGCCCCGGTGGCGGCACTGTAACGTAGCGACCGTGAACCGCCACCAAATTTGCTCGTCACCTCTACCTTGCAGTCAGGTTTTTGGGCCAAAGCACTACAAACAACACGAACTTTTGTTGGGAACCCGCCCACACTTATATTCTCGAGAAATCTTGCGGAAATTCCAGATTCACGTAGTACAATCTATGCTGTGATGGTCGCGGAGACTGACGAGCTCCGCAACCCTGGTCTAGGGTGCATGGGAATAGTATGCCGGTTGAACTGAGTGGGAGACTAACTCTTGCACTGGACGCTGAAATGTGTGAACGCCTTTGGACGTTGGTACTCGTCTGACGGCACGCCGTCCCCATCAGAATAACGTGACTTGGACATCTACCCCACCTCACCCTATGCCACAGCGACCCACGTGACTTCTGGTAGTTATGATGTAGCGCTCGCTCTCTCACAACAGAGTGTGCGTTGTTTACATGGATACCAACCAATCGTACGTTGTCTTACGTACGGCCGAAGAGTCACTTTAGAGTATCTATCGTCTCTTTGTACGACTAACCTCAACTGCTGGCCAACGTTACAAGGATGTCTTCTACTTTCAACCGCAGGAATCCATTGAAAGACATTGTCACCGTGATCTGGTGATTGCTGCCTTGCCAACCAACTCTTTAAATGGCCACCTTGTTGGTCGCTTTGGGCTTGTTTGTTGATGCGACATTGGTAATGAAATGTTTAACTTCGCTTGTCAGCGTCCGTCAGATGTCAGCAGCACGAGTGTGTATCCCCATCGCCGCCGCCAGCACCACCATCACGAGCGTCCACGGACCCGGTAATCAAACTTTGGTCGTGTGGCCAGTCAGATTGATTGCATTATAGTCGGTTCAATGTTGCGCAGCTGAATTCAGGATTGCATGTCCTTTATTAGTACTGAAACTGGCAACGCCAACGGGTCAGGCCGTGCCCCCGTTACAGACGTCGCAAAACTACAACGGTCCAGAATACCCGAGGTCCCGGGCACAGAAGCCCTTTCTCGCTTACGGTTCGAGTCGAAGCAGAAGACAGTAGCAAATGGTCATCATTAAATTCATCAGCCTACGGGTCAGCTGAGAAAATTCCTCCATCCGTCCAATAGCGCTGCGGCGACTGGGTCATCAGAAGAACTACACGGTTGTCTGCCGAGACGGCCCTGGCTAGGTCGTCTGGCGACTCCGCCAACTTCGAAAAGTGTTGGCAGAGTCGACTAGAGATGCTTGCAGACGCCACGGGGTGGGGTAGCGACCTCCATGAAACCGGCCTCAGACGTTGGGGGCATTCGAAATTTCCGCTGAATTATTCGCCAGGTTACTGATAGGGCCTCTGCACTGCAGAAAACTCGGCCAATGTCGGATGGTGGTGTGTGCATTTCGAACGCCCTTTCGAATTTGATGAGTAACCAACCGCCCCTTCGTTCTCCTGCAGATCGCTGTTTTATTTCGCTGCAGCCTGTGCTGTGCCGAAGCAATACGGGAGATGCACAACAACACGACCCCACACAGTACGGTGTTTCCAGCGAATCTAGAAGTCCTGCGTCCACTCTCTGACACCCTGGTTCCGTGAGGTGATTGTGCATTTCTGACGGATTAGGTTGTTCCCAGCATCGTTGTGCCAGCGGCATAAGTCTAATTGGCGTTGCTGCAAAGGTCATCACTGTTGTCATTCCCAGGCGATATTAAAGTGTATGTATTCCGAGGACGCGACCCAACCAAGACAGTTTTGAGCTAGACTTGGATGAGCCTACTAGATATCCAACTTACGGTTTATTTCTCAATTCGGCTGTGGCTACCAGTTGGCGAAGGTCGTCTGATTTGCTGACCCTGCCACTGCATTCGGTTCCGTCTGCCGTGAGTCATTGTGGTGGATAATGGAAGTAGTCTGTATGCCGGCAAAAGTTATCGCTGTGATCATAGCCTGCTATTACTCCGTCACTGCGTGAGCTCTGATACGCAATAATTGCTTGATATTCTCTCCGGCGTCTTGTCGGCCGTTCTGTTTGACTGCACCATCCATTGGTTTCTTAGTAGGGCTTTACACGGTTTTGGCAGTGGTTAGTTCTCACTCGGACGCCGCCTGACCGACTTCGACTACGTAAACGATGTCATTGTTGATGCCCCACTGATAAATTGTAGGGTGTAATTTCGTTAGGTTAGCGGGGTTTTTAGATCTGTCTGCTAATAGACAAACGCTGGGAGGGCCACAGTGTTTTTGAGTTGTATCTCTGACCAGTAAAAAACCCCTAGGTATAAATGGGCGTCAATTCGAAGAAATAAACAGAGTAAAGGCTACATCGTCTTCTGAATCGATGCCGCTTGCGGTATTGTTAAAATCTGTGAAAAATGTCAACGAATCCTACTTGGCATCTCCACGTCACATGCGCCCGGTCGGTCTTCCCGCACAATTGTTAGTTCTGGGCTGTTCTCGTGGAATATAGGCGAGATTTGGAGGTGTTTGACCACTGCGGCGCGAGAATCATCCCTCATGTGGTGTATGTACGCTGACTTGGTTTCCGGTAAGACAGCCCACCCTCGCAGCGACAGCATCACGACGATACCTCGAGCTGATCGGACCCTGTACGTCAGGCACAGAATTGATTTTTTGGTCCTCGGTATTCGGTCTCAGTCGTCAGAATAGAGGGCGGGCCGGGTCCTCTTGGTTCGTTTTCACAGATCCTTAGGCGTGGAGAGGTCCAACCATCGTGGCTAGCTTTATCAGGCACGGTAACATCCATACTTACTTGTACTTGTACTTGATACGGCTGCGATCATGCCTGATCTAGCCGGCCTCGATGATGTCCCGAACTGTACCTCTCCACGCGTGACGGTCTGCGGCAGCAGATCTAGACAGCTCGACCCATTCCCTTCGCCAACGACGGAGACCGAATACCGAAGGTCCAAGAACCACCTCCATGTCTTGACGGACAGTGTCGAGCCAGGTTTTGAACTGACCCCCTCTTCGACGCCTCCAATGGGGCAACGGTGCCGGGTCGAGGGCAGTAACACTGAGCTCCTGAGGTGGACGACGAAGAACATGCCCGAACCACCTCAGTCGTCTTTCTTGGATGGCCTGAGTTATCCTTGCGATGTTGTCGCAGCGAGCGCGGACTGTCTCATTTGAGACGAAGTCGGTTAACTTCACTCGAAGGATGATCCTCAGGCAGTGGTGGTCAAATACCTCCAGTTTTCGGTCATCCTCCACGCGCAAAGCCCAGCATTCACAACCGTAGAGAAGGACAGACCGGACAGATGCACGGTACACGCGAATCTTAGTGGCGATGGAAAGGTCACGTCGGCTCCACAGGCATTTCCGAAGGCTTGAGAAAACCCAGCGGGCAGCATCGATTCGGGAGACAATGTCGTCCTTACTCTGTCCGTTAGGCAGCAGCCTCGCCCCAAGGTATTTAAAACTGTCCACTTCTTCAAGTTGACAGCCATCAATCCCCAGGGGTGCCTTCTCCTGGTCAGGGATGCAGCTTGAGAATACTTTGGTCTTCCCAGCGTTTATGGACAAACCGACTGCTTTGGCGACCTCGTTCACCCGTGACACCATAGACTGCAGATCACCATAACTTGAAGCAAGTAAGGCGATATCATCGGCGTAGTCGAGATCAGTCAGTCGATATCCGGGTGCAAATTCAACACCGTCACCGTCGCGTAGGGCCCTCCCGAGGATCCAGTCAATAGCGTAGTTGAACAGTATGGGTGACAGGATACAACCCTGTCGGACGCCAGACCGAATACCGAACGGTTGGGAAAGATTGTTACGGACCAGGACTCTTGCAGTAGTGGAGCGATAGTAGGCCTTGATCATGGCGATGATTTTTGCCGGTACACCATCTAGCGCCATTATCCGCCACAGGGACTCACGGTGAACGGAATCGAACGCGGCGGCAAAGTCAACGAAGCAGACGGCCGTCGGTTGTTGGTAGCTATGGCGAAATTCGAGAATGCGCCTCAGTGTGAATATCTGATCTGCGCATCCACGTCCAGCACGAAATCCGGCTTGGTTGGGCCTCGTCCTGGAGTCACGCACAGCCTGGAATCGCCGGAGTAGGACAATAGCGAAGATCTTCGCAGCAACGTCGATGAGACTTATGCCGCGGTAGTTCTCGCATCTCGTCTTATCTCCCTTCTTGAGGATAGGTACAAGGATGCCTAAGCCCCAGTCATCAGGAACAACCTCGTCTCTCCACGCTCGTTCAATCACCTCATGGAGCCAGGGCGCCAGAGTGTCGACACAAGACTTGAAGATTTCAGCGGGTATACCGTCCTCTCCGGGTGCCTTATTGTTGCGCAACTTTCGTATGGCATCGGCGACTTCTTCCTCGGAGGGGGGATCGCATGGCACTGCATAGATAGGAGAGGGAAGAAACTCCGCTGTGGAGGAGAGCAAGGACGATGTTGGTTGGGTATCGAAGTTGAGATGGTGCTCAAAGTGCTCACGCCAGCGCTCGACTTTGGCCGAGTTGTCAGCAATAAAGCCGCCGTTCACATCGCGAACAGAGTCACTCAATGTAGAGGGCTTACCGCTAACTTGGCGGATCAGACGGTAGAGCTTTCGAGTGTCACCAACGTTCGAGGCCTGTTCCATGGATGTCGCTATTTCAGCCCAATATTGCTTTCGGTCATCCCTGGCCGATTTTGACGTCATCTTCCGAAGTTGGCGGAAGTAGTCATCGTTGCGGGACCTGGCTCTAGCCGTCTGAGCAGACAACTGCAGGGTTCTTTCGCTGATCCAGTCACTGCGGCGTCGCTGGGTGTATCCAAGGATTTTCTCAGCTGCCCCATAGACTGATGTCTTCAATGACGACCACTGGTTCCTGACTTCTCCGTCGGCTCGGGTCGTAAAACAGGTCCGGATTTCTCTGCTTAGGGCCTCAGCAGTGCTGGCTTGCCGGATTTTTGCGACATTGAGGCGTCTAGGACGTGGCATTTTCGGCGCGGATGAGAGATGAACTTTCAGGCGTGTACGGACGAGGACATGGTCCGACCCATGGGCGTTACCAGTCTCGGCACCACGCATCGATCTGCTATCGTGAACCCAGCTGCGGAATCTTGAGCTGACTAGTATGTAGTCAATCTGACTGGCCGTACGACCATCGTTTGAATACCAGGTCAGCAGATGTTTTTTTCGATGCTGGAAGCATGTGTTGGTGACAAGCAGTCGGTTTCGATCAGCGAAGTTCAGCAATCTCTCACCATTTTCACATCGAGAACCAAGCCCAAAGCGGCCAAGAAGATGACTGGTTGTGGAGTCGCCAGGTCCAGTTCGACCATTCCAATCGCCAGCAACAATCAGCAGATCGCGGCGCGGCAGTCTTTCAACTAGCGCTTGCAACTGAGAGTAAAACGCCTCTTTATCGCGCTGTTCGGCAGCCGAAGTTGGTGAGTACACAGCGACGATGGAGATGTTCGTGAAGTGACCCTTCAGTCGCACGTAGGCCATCCGGTCATTGACTGGTTCCCAAGCAAGTAGCGCGAGGTCTGCTTGTTGTGATAGGGCGATCGCCACACCATGCCGACCAGAGGAATCGAGGGGGCCGCTGTGGTACAGGGTGAAGTGGGATTCGACTCCAGGGATCTTGATTTCACGGGAGCCCGAGTCAGGGAGTCGTACCTCAGACAGACAGCAGACATCCACGTTGTACTGATGAAGGCTGCGTGCGGTCAGACTTTGGGTACCAGGGTCCAGGAACGTTCGTACATTCCAGCATCCAATACCGAGAGTCCTTCCACGATTGAATAGTCCAGCTCGCATACTATTCGCCCGCACCACTGGACCAGGGTTGCGGAGCGCGTCGGTTCCCGCGGACGCCGTAGCATGGATCGTAGTACTGTGATCGGACATTTTTCATGAGGTGTCTTGGGAATTTTGAATACGGGCGGGTCCCCAACAGCCGCTCGGATTGTTTGTTCGAGGTTGTCTCCTCTAGCGCTTTGGCTTAAAAGCCTAACCACAAAGCAGCGGTGGCTAGTAAACTTATTTAATGGCGGTTTACGGTCGCCATGTCACAATGCCGTCATTGGGTTTTGCGGCATTTTATAAGGCTTTCAGCGTGCCAGACTTCAGCCCACCGCACCCTGGTAGCAATGTCGCTGCCGGTCCGCGACTGCTTATTCGTCAGACCTGGGTCTGCTTATTTCGCAGCTAACCTTCACTGAAGGTCGTCCCACTATCCGCCACCTGTGGACGCGCCGGGTAGCCAGCAGCTAGGCTAACGGGCAACCCGTCTTCCCGGATACCAAATATGAGTAAGCGTCTCGCTGTCCTGAGATTTGGATATTCATTCAAGACCAAAGTCCATAGGTAGGGATATTAGCGTCTGGAAATCTTCCTCCGCGTCCTGGTGGTATTCCTGCTGGTGATGGACAACTGTCTATGTCAGAGTCTGGACTCTATATCTGATTTCTACGAAAGCGCCGATCAGCTGGCGGTCAGAGTCAAAATCAGACGGTTTGGTCGATCTAACGCCGGTCCTAACTCTGATGCGCTACTCTACTGTGTAAAATTTTGTCAGAAACTTTCCCAGCACAAACTCACAGGAACCTGTGGCCTTTGTCCACACGTGTTAACACCGAACTGTCCTCTCTTCAGGTTGAAGATAACGGACTTCACAAGTATCTCCCGAGGCCCTCTTTACTGCCAGACACACGTATCATTCCATGTATGATGGAAGCTAGCATAGCGTTCTTCTCTACTTGGAATTGCTTCTCTGCCTCGCCAGGAGTCTTCAGACGCGGAATTTGTTTGATTCAGTCATCCAGGATAGTTTATTTTGTCTTAGAATCTACTGGGACATTCCGCAGGATGTGCATGATTTTTTTAATCTCGAATAAGAGCTGCATAGCTTCTTTTCTGCGTCCAATAGTCACATACCACCCAACCTATTGCTCAGCTGCTGCTGCTGGAGGAGGGGGAGGGGGAGGGGGATGGGGAGGAGGAGGAGGAAGGTGTCACCAGAAGAATAGGCGATTAGACGCATTTTCAGTATTTGCATGCGTTAGGAGCTTCGTTCCTCTATATGGATGAGGGCATCATCATGGTTACGTGGCCGTATTTTCGTTATGAGGCCGTCAAGTCGCCACAATGCTGACCCAGCGGGTAGAGCTGCTGTCAGCCGGCTGTCAAGATGGTATGGTCGATAACACAAAGGTCCCCAAATCAGAAGTCAGGGAAGGCAGATTGTGTTGGACAACTTTACTGACGTGTAAGAGGCTCCGCGAACAGTTGTCCCAGGCTATCCCTCCAGGCAAGTAGTTCTTCCGTGTCCGCAAATCAGATTGCGTTGGACAATTTTACTGACGTTTAAGACCGTGCCAGAGGCTCTGCAAGCAGTTGTCCCAGGCTGTCTCTCCAGACAAGTAGTTTTTTCCGTGTCCGCCGTTGAGGTTGTTGTGCGCCGTCCGTCAGCTAATCAGAGAAGTGGCAGCGTTGATTGGTTTCGAGCTCTCGCGAGGGTAGTGACAAGCCTCGCGCGACCCCAACAGCTGATCGACAGGGAACGTGAGGCGGACAGAAAGGCAGTGAGGAAAAACGCGGAATGCCACAGTACCCCCAGGCTGGACCAGGGGCGGCGTGGAGCGGTGCCGAGCGAAATGCCCATGTCTAAAAATATGAGTAATCAAACGTCCAGGAAAACGAGAATGGCGTCCACTACGGGTGACATATACAGGGGCACAGGGGAGGGTGTTTATGTCTTGCGGCTACGGCGGTGGAGGTTGATGAGGAGGCAGTTGCAGTTGGGAGAAACGGCTATGGAGGAAGAAGGAGGATACGGGGCTGAGCGAAAGAGGGTCGAGGAGATGGGGCAGGGGGTATGGAATCAGAGGGCTCATCCGGAAGAGTGTTTGGGAAATCAGCTCGGAGACGGTCCATGATCACGATCTCCTCGCGAGTTCCGCGTTGGATGCGGAAGTTCATTGTCCTACGAGAGGTAACTCGGAAGGGGCCATCGTAGGGTAGTTTCGGTGGCTGGCCTACCTGACTTCGCCAGCACGTCGCCAAGTTTTTCTCGAGGTAATACTTGGAGACAGATGGTCTGGGCGGAACCGGGGAGTGTCCACATCAGTTCCGAAGACAGTGCAGGAGGTTGGTGGGATCTTCGACCTCATCTCGATGGTTGGCGGGATCATCTTGCCAGGAAGTCGGACGGTGGTGCCGAGCACCAATTCAGAGGCGGAGCAGTCGAAGTCCGACTTGAGAGAGGAGCGGACGCCCAACAGGACCAGGGGAAGGTGGGCCTTCCAGTTATCCGGATCGTCTGTGACACGTAGGGATGCCTTTAACTGGCAGAGAAACCGCTCGACCATCTGGTTGGCTGCCGGATGATAGGCTGTAGTGCGGATGCGAGTACAACCTAAAAGGAGAAAGGAGACTCGAAGAGGTCAGATTCAAACTGGGCGCCATGATCAATCGTAATTTTGGAGGGGTGAGGCCCATGGGCTTTCAGATTCATGGATGATGCCCCCCTGAAGCATGTGCTCGAACTCCGCCTTGGCGGCAGCAAGACGTGCAGACTTGAGGCGGCGAGAATAAGCAGGTGGCGATTGGCGAGGTGTTGGCGGCCTGAAGGAAGAGACTGGGATTAGGGCACCAACGACCGCCTGTGGTGCGAGGAATGGCACTCAGTTGCGCACCAGTATTGACCAAAAGACGCCTGCCACTCCAGTTGTCGCAGACGTAATATGTGCGACCGGGGTTAGAGTTTCCACGAAGAGTTGTCGCACTGATCTTTGGGCTGACCCGTTTGTTCTCTTTAGAGATGAAAGAGCAGGGGTAGATGTAGCAACAGGCTTTAGCACCAAAGGTGGTGTGATACCAGCAGGTGGCGGCAGTGTTGGAGCGAGTTGAGTGTGTAAACTAGACATGCCGGTTAGATGGCCTTGCTGAACTCTGGGATGATAAAGGAGCTGGCTGCTACCAGTAGAAGCGAATAACTGGCGGTTCTCGAAGAGAAGTCATATCTTGGGCAATCTTTGCAACCACAGACTTCAGGTTGGAGAGAGGAGACAGGAGAAATTGAGGAAGTTGAGAGAGCGGAGAGCCATGGCTTGGAAAAACCGTGCATCTCCATAAGCCGTTCGGCCAGCCGAGTAAAGTGTGCAGCCGAAAGAATACCAGAAGCAGGTACCAAAATAAGCAGCACTTTCGGTGGATAGTTGTCATTGGGGACGCCTGACTATATCGTAGATTGGGAAGAAGGAAGGTTAACGTTCGCAAGGGGTCACCATATGTCGATGATAGTGTGGTATAGTCGACGGCAGCATTTCCTCGTCCATAAGTGTCGTTTCCAACAGCACACAGCGTCCCATAGCAAGGTGGGCGCAGAGACGGCGACTTGCGCCATAAAGGCCCCATTAAGAAGGAACTATGCAGCCTGACCGTCCGTCAAGCCGAATTATCCCGTCAGTTGGCAGCCTTCCAAGTCAGGACGTTTAGTGCGCCGTAATCTATTTAAGCGCGTCATATGGTTTATATTGAAG